AGTACAGTGATTAGTGCACTAACCCTGGCGTCAGGAGGACCTGATTTCAAATCTGGCTTCAGATACTTGCCACTTACTAGCTGTGTGACCTTGGGCAAATCACTTAACCCCAATTGTCTCACGAAAGAAGAAGAAGAATAAAAGGGTGGATGTGGGAGGTAGGACATGATCTGAGCTTCTTAGTAAGGTGGGGATTCTAAGTGGTGGAGGGGAGGAGAGAGAACATTCCAGCTTAGGGGGATGATGGCCTTTGCAGAAAGTAGAGAGACAGATGGAATGTCATGTGTGAAGCAGAAGTATGCCAGTTTGGCTGAAATTGAAAGTAAATGGAAAGTTGTCTGCCTAAGTGGATAGATTGGCACTGGGCTTTGAAGGGCTTTAAATGCATATGGAAGAGTTGGTATTTTATTCCAGAGGCAGTCGGCCCACTGGATCTTTTGGAGGGGGCAAGTGGCACAGTCAGACCCAGGCTTCAGAGAGATATCACATCTATAGCTGTGTGGAGGATGAATTGGAGAGGGTAGAGACTTAAGGCAGTGACCCAATTTGGAGGCTAATGCAGTAGTCCAGGCAAGAGGTGATGAAGGCATGCTTCATTAGGGAGGTAGCTGTGTGAGTGGAGAGAAGGTGATGGATATGAGGGTCATTTTGGAGGTAGAATTGATAAAGCTGGTGAGCTGAAAGGCTGGGGTGAGGGGCAGGTGAGAGTGAAGATTGGAGAATGAATGCAATTGTAAAGCTGGAAGGAAGATGGATGGTGTTTTGGACAGAAATGGGGAAGTTCAGAAGAGGACTGGCTTTAGGGGAAAAGACAACGAGTTCTGTTTGGGACATGATGAGTTTGAGATGCCTTCAGGACACTCATTTGGAAATTTCTAACATACTGGTGGAGATGGGCATAGGCATGAGAGTTGCCTATGTCAGTTTGGGAGACATCTGCATAAAGAGGATGGTTTAACTCATGGGAACTAATGAGAGCCGAGAAGTGAGTACAGAAAAGAGCCCTGGTGCCCACCTGTGGATTGAGGGTAGTAATGGGTGCTAATCCTGCAGATGTGACTGACAGAGAGTTGTCAAGACAGTAGAAGGAGACCCAGGAGAGAGCAGCGTCATTGAAAAACCTGGGAAAAGCAGGATTCAGAGGGAGGGGCTCTTCAATGGAGCCAGCCACTCAGAAAAGCTGAGAAGCTTGAGGGCTGAGGCAAGGCCTTTTAGTTTGTGTCTGTGTATATATATATAAATATATATATAAAATATATATATTACATGTCTATTGATATGTATTATGTATCTATTTATATATTACATATCTATATATATTACATGTATATTTATATATTATGTATCTGTTTATATATATTGTGTATCTATTTATACATATTACGTATCTATATTTTACATATCTATTCATATATATTATGTATCTATTTATATATTACATATCTATTTATATATTATGTATCTATTTATATATTATGTACCTATTTATATATATTACATATATATTGATATATATTATGTGTATATTTATATATATTACATATCTATTGATATATATTATATATCTATTGATGTATATTATGTATCTATTCATATATTATGTATCTATATATTACATATCTATTTACATATTATATATCTATTTATATATATTACACATCTATTTATATATATTATATATCTATATATTTTGTATCTATATATTACATATCTATATATATTACATATATATTGATATATATTACATATCTATTGATATATATTACATATCTATTTATATATATTACATATCTATTTATATATTATGTATCTATATGTATTATGTTTCTATTTATATATATTATGTATCTATTTATATATTATGTATCTATTTATATATTATATATTTATATAGATTACATATATATTTATATAGATTACATATACATTTATATAGATTACACATATATTTATATAGATTACATATGTACTTATATATAACATATATATTTATATATATTACGCATATACTTATATATATTACATACCTATTTATATATATATTATGTGTGTATATGTGTGTGTATGTGTATAGGTATATATATATATATACATATATATATACATTTATATTCCACTCACATAGCTACCTCCCTGATGAAGCACACCTTCATCACCTCTCACCTGGACTACTGCATTAGCCTCCAAATTGGTTCACTGCCTTAAGTCTCTACCCCCTGATTCATTCTCCACACAGCTATAGATGTGATATGTCTGAACCCAGGTCTGACTGTGCCACTTACCCCCTCCAAAAGATCCAGTGGGCTGACAGTCTCTGGAATAAAATACCAACTCTTCCATCTGCATTTAAAGCCCTTCAAAGCCCAGTGCCAATCTATCCACTTAGGCAGACAACTTTCCATTTACCTTCTATTTCAGCCAAACTGGCTTACTTCTGCTTCACACACACACACACACACACACACCCATATATCATTGGTGACCTTGAAGAGAACAATTTCAGTTGAATGGTAGGATTTGGGTCCCAATTCCAAAAGGTTGAAGTGAACAGGAGGTGAGAAATTGGAGGCAATGAACATAGGCTTCCTTTTCTCGGAGTTTGGCTGTGAAAGGGAGGAGATGAAAGCTTGAGGGGATGGGAAGGTCACTGTAGTATTACTATTAAGGTAGGCTTAAAGCAGGTAGGCACATGCATGCTCAGAGTCTTTGCTGATGTCCTGGAGGATGGGCTGGAAAAATCCGAATGAAAGAGCTACTTTCTAGAGGTGAGATTATCAACATGCTCTCATTTCTGAATAACACTGTGCGGATTGCTTTGAGTCTCCTCAAATCTTCTCAGTGAGATTCACTGCTAGTCCAAATAAGATGGACCTAGCGTTCCCTTCAGGGGTCCACTGTGGGGTGGGGATGGCGCTGAGTTGATCAGCGTTGAGGGCCTCCTCTGTGTAAGGCTCCTGCTAAGAACACAGAGACGTTTGTTAATAGGCACTGCCTTCGAAGTGCTAGCTTTATTGGAGATAGAGAGCAAATACCACATAGTGTAATTTGAGGAGGAAGGGAGCCCCCTAAGTGAGGGGCATTAGGAAGGTAGTAGCACTTGAGTTGAGTCTTGAAGGAAGCTAAGGATTCTGAGATGGGCAGGGGTTGATGGAGGAAGTGGGGGATAGCCTGTGCCAAGATAAGCAATCAGGTGATGGAATGTGAAGTTTAAGGAATGTCTATTAGGTCCGTTTGTTGGGATGTGGCACAGTGGATAGCGTGCCAGGCCTGGTGTCAGGAAGACCTGAGTTCAGATCTGGCCTCAGATCTGACCCTGGGCAAGTCACTTCACCTTGTTTGCCTCAGTTTCCTCAAATCTGAAAAATAAGCTGGAAAAGGAAATGGCAAACCACTCCAGTATCTTTGCCAAGAAAACCCTAAATGGGGTCACAAAGAGTCACACATGATTGAAAAAAGACTACAAAGGGTACATGAATGGGTAGAATGTGAAATAAGTACGTACTGACTAATTCAGTCAGTCCCTATCTCTTAGACAACCACTGCAGATGGCAACCGGGTGGGCCCATAATTCAGTGGGAGGAAAAAAACGCATGGCCTGGATTGGACTTGAGAAATTACATAGCACTTTCAACGGTACCAAGCTGCTCCCTGTGGCAAAAACCCTTTTCAATACCAGCATTTTCCAGTGCTTCTCCTGTGGCTCATAGAAGACCACAATTCCAGAAGAATCAAGTTTACAGGTGCCCCAAAGGTCAGTGGAAAGACACATGGTGGGTGCCAGAAGGTGCCGGAAGGATGCAGTATATCCTAGAATCAGAGTATCTCAGGGTTAGAAGGGAGCAAGGAAGTGATCCAGTCCAAGCTGAACCTGTTGAAAAAATCCCCTCTGTGACATTTCCACTAAGTGATTGTCCAGTGTTTGTGTGGAAACCTTCCAGGAGGGGGCACTCATGACTTCCCTTGGCAATCCATTCATCTTTGGATTGCATTGTTTGCGAAAATATTTTTCTTTACATCAAGCTGAAATTTGCACCTCTGTGCCTATCACCCATTTCTCCTAGCTTTGCACTTTGAGACCAAGCAGAAGAGATTCTAATCCATCTTGATAGCCCTTCCCAGGTACTTGAAGATAATCACCAGATCTCTCCTGCACACCGGCCTCCTCCAAGTCTCCCATTGGTGATTTTCTCCTGGAGCTTCCATTTTGTGGAAGGGCCCAGGCCAGCCTCCCTTCTGTCTGTTTCTGACTTTCTGTACCTCATAACCATATACTTGTGGTGGGCACCCTCCCCCACCCGTCCTGAACCAAGCTTTTTGGCTCTCTTTTGTGTGCTCCCTAAGGGCAGGGAAAGCCTTTTTGCTTCTTTCTATATCCTCAGCTCTTAGTACAGAGCTTGGCACATAGTAAGCACTTAATAAATGCTGTTTTCTTCTTCCCTCCCTCCTTTCCTTCCTTTCTTTTGTCCTCTCCTTCCCTCTCTCCTTCTTTCTTCCTTCTTTTCCTTCCTTCCTTCCCTTCCTCCCTTTTACTTTTCCTTCCTTCTTTCCTTCCTTTCTTCCTTCCTTCTTTCCTTCTTCCCTCCCTCCCTCCTTCTCTTCCTTCCTTTCCTTCCTCCCTGCTCTTTTTCCTTCCTTCCTTCCTTCCTTCCTTCCTTCCTTCCTTCCTTCCTTCC